TGCTGCCCCAATTAAAATGTTCTCTAGCTTGTTCTTGGCAGCGTCGCCCTCACAGACAGACCCGAGGTGGAACATCAAACCCTTACGAGGACACAGTCAACCAGGTCTGAGGCCTAAATTAAGCTGGAAGGACAGGGAGGCATCTTTGCCAGGTGCACCCTGCCAAGTCCTGAAGTCTCCTCATTATTATCATCATCCTTATTCATTTGTAGGACAGGCGCTCCCACTAAGACCCAGGACTTGCTGTGCTAAGCACGGCTCTGCAAGGCACAGGACAGAGCCCATACCCCAAAAGCTGGCTGGCCTGCCTACATAGATGGGTTTGCCTACATGAGTGGTTCTGGACTTGAAGCCACCCTCGGTGGACTCAGGACACCCCTCCATAACGTTTGTAAAGTGAATGGCCGCCCATTTAAAAAACGCATGTATAGATTACAAAATGAGGTTTTATTTTCTACCTCCAAGGACTTACGCTATCCTTAACTTCCCCTTGGCCTGAAGAAGGGTGCGTGCACCTGAAAACTTGCAAAGAAATATATATTTAGAGCAAAATATATATATATATATATATATTTTTTTTTTCTAGGTGGTGTAATAAAAGGTATCAGCTCTGAACCAAAGTTTTAGAGTTTTGTATTCCTGTCCAGACCACAGTGCTAACCTCCTTGCAGAGCGGCCTGGCTTCAGGCGTAATTTGTTTTTTGCAATTTCTCCATTGGTCTAATAAAAGGGATCATTTCCGAACCATGAGTTCTAGCTGTTTGCTTTTCTTTTTGTCTCAGACCAACACGGCTACCACATCCATCCCTGTCTCCTCACAAATCAAAAGATCTGGCAGCGCCCCAGGGTGCCCCAACACCCTCATTGAGGATTGCTGGCCTAATAAAAGGGATGTTGTTGTCCCCATTTCATAGACAGCAAGGGCCTGGGAGGTGGGGGAGACACGGGGGTAGCCCCCAAAAGCACTCCCACCGGCTCGCTGCTATTCCCGTGCACCGAAATCTGGGAATCAAGCCATTTTCATGCCGCCTTGAGTATGCATCAAGGAACACAGCACCCCAGGGCAGCATAACATGAGAGAAAGGCCAACAAAGCGGTGTTTCTCAGGGGCAGATGAGGAGAAGGAGCTGAGAAGAGTGGGAAAGGGTGAGGGAGAGACTGACAGCAAAAATGCACAAATTCACAGCAGTGGACATCAGGGAGGCTGGGAGGGAAGGGATTGGGGACCTCCAAATGGACTCTCAACTCCCTCTGGTACACAGGTACCCTCCTGAGAGGTGTTTAGAAATGCAGCTGGGTGGGCGAGTAGGGTGGGTGGATGGACACCAAGATGGGCAGAAAAAGAGAGAAACCATGAAGCGGGCTGGTCTGATTTCCTTATCCGAGCTGAATGCAATGCAAAGTGTGAACAAGTCCCTGATGAATATGGGAGCTGACCCACGCCCGTCGGGAGGCTGTTGGGTCTGGGGGTTTCACTCGAGATCATCTCTAATGGCAAGTGAATTCGATGCTTACGATTCATTCGCTTTTAATGACCTACGGGTGTCATTAGTGACTGAGCTAAGGACACATCCCTTGGATATCTGAGCTTCGCATTGACAGGCGCCCTTTAATTGCTTCCTTGTTTTTTATTCCCAATGACATAACTTTTCCTGATTGTTTCCGACACCTGTCAGCAAAAAGCACAGCCCTGCGCGTCTCCTGCCTTCGCTGACGGGTGGGTGGGGAACGGCCCGCATACAGGGAACGTGCCTGCCACACACTGGCACTGCAACCTCAGCTCTTCCCGCCCCGAAAAGGGAAAACAGATCACGCAGGGTGCAATTCAGGTGTCTATTGTGGTGAGCTCTTGGCTTGGACCTCGTTCAGACCCCGTGGGGTTCAGGTGTCGCTTCTAAGGTAATTTTCCATTGATCGGCAAGAAGGGCTGTGATTTCCTGACCTTAACACTCCAAGGAAGTACAGATTCCCCGCTGCAGCAATCCTCAAGCATAGGATTTCCACTGGTGGGTGCCCCGGCATGTACTGGCCTGGCCTACACTGAAAGGAGACGTCCGTCCGGATGACCTAAGGCATCTGGGGGCTCCTATAAAAATTCCTGAAATATTTAGACAGCAAAGCAAGCACCTGAATTAAAGCGAGAGGTGTATCCAAAATACACACGTCGCTGTCAGTAATAATTACAAGCACAGCATGCATGCACTAGCACATGCCACCAACTTGGGGCATAATAACACCTCGGGAATAACATCGCTGTGCAGCTGCAGAATTAATGGCTATTGGCCATGATTCGTGTCTCACCCTGGCACAACTCCCCGTCTTCCATGTCGCTAATCTGCATTGACCCCAAGGCGAGGGAGGTTCGGTCTGTGCATTCACCCCGTGGAGCAGAAAGTTCCTCGTCTGATCGTGGTAGTGCCAGGCAGACTTGCAGATCACCTGCCCTCCCCTTCTCGAGGGTGTGATGGCCACCAAGTGAAGGATGTTCCCAGGAAAAGCCCCCCATCCCCAGGACTCAGCTGGGCTGAGGGTACCTGGAGGATGCTCCAGGGCTTTGTCCTGCAGTAATTTTGGGGCAGCTCCTGGAGCTCTTAACCCCCTGGATTGTCCACACACGAACACCTTCACTGGTTTGAAGCACTAATTTGAAGCACTAGTTTGAAGCACTAGTTAAGTGGCTTAAAGTTAAGCCACTCTGGGGAAGGGTTATCTCTGATCTGCACAACCCAGCTCCTGTTCCAATCAGGTGTGGCCACTCGCCACGGGTGTGCTGTCCCCACTGAAGTCCTCCACTCTCCCAGGATCTCTCATGCCGCCCCCCGTAGAGCTCACCAGCCCTCTCCTAGTCCTGCCCCTGCTCCCCAGGCCTCCCGTGGCAAGTCACAGCTGTGCGGGGGGGGCAGTTGGAGGAGGTTTGCAGATGGAAGGTGTGACTGCTCCAAACTCCCCGCTGGTATTAACACCCATCAGCATTTTCCTCCACCCCTGCTTTCCTCACCACCTTCCCTGCTGCACTGCAGTCTCACAGGGGCCTTTGAGGGCCCGCAATGAGGGGGAGAGAGGCCTGAGGAGAATGGTGTCCCCTCCAGCTGCTCAGCCAGGCCTTGGACAAACCAGAAGTAAATCCCTGCGATTCTGGGGATCCTATGATTTGCAACCGCCTGTGGCACAGGGACCTGTACTCAGTGGGCTACGAACCCCACATATCCAGGGCAGGACTCAAAACCCATCCCTTCCCCAGACCCCTCTCCTGATTTCCTAAGTGGGGAAACTGAGGCACAGGGCCCAGAAGGGGTTTCACTCTCCCCGCGGCTCTTTGATGCGGATGAGGGACTAGAGCAGAATTTGGCAGGGCAGCAGCCGGCCACATTGGCTCCCCGCTCCCAAGCTACCTTGGCTATGGCTCATCATCTACCCTGCTGCTTGCTTATTAATGAAGCTGCCTGCTCCCTGTTGTCTCAGGGTCTGCAATGCTGTTTATGGGCAGCGAGGAGTCTCTGGGCAAAGCTATTTTTAGTTGAGCAAGGAAGGGGGGAGCCCTTGAAAGTGGGCAAGTCGAAAACAAAAGTGTTGCCAAAGGCAACTCCTCCTCCTCTCGGATGCCCGCGGCCAGCCGGTGCCGCTCGGTGGAGACAGCCACGCGGCTAACGCCGGGGATTGAACGCAGTGCAAACAGGCCTCGACGAGGCAGCCCGCAGCACCACTGGGATCTGGAAAACCTGCTACCATCGGGCTGTGTCCTGCTCCCGGCTGGGGATAACGTTAATCCCTTTCTCAGCACACGGCCTCCATCCGTATTTACCAGGACATACTTCCCGGTCACCTTGCCGGAGCAGCACGGCTACTTCTCGCAGCAAACCCCGCGCACTTTTGTCACCTCCTCTGCAAAGGGCAAACCAGGCTCCAGGAGTAACGTCAGGCCACCTGCCTCCGGCCAGCTTGCAATGAGCCAGTTCGACAGCCCGGGGCCGGGGCAGGAGAGAAACACCCAGCTCCATCTCCCTGATGCCGGTGGCAAGAGAGAAACCGCCCCAGGACAGGAGCTGTCAGCCTCTCATCCTTTTTGGGTTTTTTGTCTATCCCGCGCCAGACCCTTGAGCTGCTTCGACGGCATTCAGGGCTGATTCGCCCCTGTCCACCCTCAGACAGCGTTGAGGGAGGGTGGGGCCGCGGGGGATTATTTTTAGGCCGGGTCCACGTGGGGGGAAGATCAGATGTCCATTCCCACATGTTCCCTTTGCATGCCACGAATGCTCTGCTCCATCTGGCTACCCCAACAGGAGGGAGCAATTTGCAGCCACGGCGCTTTCACGTGCTGGCCTGTATCAGAAACCCGTCCTCTCCACTGCACGCGCGCGTGCGTCCCCCCCCCAGCCTGCTTCGGGCTAGCAGCCCCCAGTGGGAAAGTGGCTTTCTAGGAAACTTGCCTTCAGCCGTCTTGATGAACCACAGCAAAGAAAGTTGACTCCAGCAAGCCACCGCCGTGCGTGCTGCTCCAGGGTTTCAGGCCCCCGAGGGAGGCAGCAGGGGCTTGGCTGTAGCCGAGTCTGAGATGGGGCCGAGGCCCTGGTAGGACGTTGGGAGGGAAGGTAGCAGGCAGGATCTATCCAGGAGCAGGGGGCTCGTAGAAACTGGCCCATGAACATATCATGTCAGAGCAGACAGCTGATGTGCCCAGCGTATTTAACATATGTCCCACCGCTACTGGGATGCCCTATCCAGCCCTGCCTGTTGCGAAGAGGATGCTGAGAAATTGGAGAGGGGTCCTGCAAGAAGACTGAAGACTGGAAAACAGACCTTGCAGTAAGATGCTTCAAGAGCCCCCCCCACCCCCCCGGCTTCCTGTACTTGTCGTCTTCTGGTCAGACCCCATGCAAGCGCCTTGCATTTGAAAGCGTGGCGAATGCTATCCCAGCTACACAGCTGGTCCAATAAAAGAGGTCACCGCAAGACATCCTTGTCTGCTGTGCCAGGAAGAAGATTCAGGGCTGACTTGAGCTGTCCCCAAAGGAGGGCCAGAAATTTTAGGGGTGAGGCCTCTTTCATCTGCAGATGAGTGGTGCAATGAGAGCCAGCTTGACACTGGGCAAATTCGGATGCATAATGAGAGGCTTAAGCAGGGAGGGCACTATGCCGCTTGCCCACAGCTGGGGTAGATTTGGTATCCCTGGCAGATTCAGAGGTTTTTCCAAGAGATCTGCCCAAGTTCAAGCATGGGCACTGGCCTGGGAGCAGGGGGATCCTGCAGCCTCGCTTCGGACACAGGCTGACCACAGAGGCTCCCTGTGGCCTTGAGCTCCAGGGCTGTCCAAGCAAGCAGGAGCTTGCAAGGGCTGAATCCCGACATAGGTCTGTCCAAAGACTACCACTGAGGGCTATTTAACCATAACCATGCATTGCCTTCTGGCAGCCTATGCCCCAAGCCAGACCCAACCTCCCGGCTGGTCCTCAGAGGCTGAACCTTGGCTATGGGCCTGTGGGCTCTTTGTGGAGTCTCTGGGCAACCTCAGCCTTAGTATCTGGGATGATTTCTGGGCTGGAGAAGGTGGACAAGGGTTCAGAAGGAAGGAATATCCTCCCCAGGGCGGTAAAAAACCCAGCTGTCGTGCTCATAGCTGTGTCTTGAGAGCTGGCATTTGGGATTCCTGGCTCTTATCCCGAGACCTGGCTGAGAAACCCCAAGTAAATCCCTTTCCCCTCCCTATGCCTCAGTTTCTCCCTCCACAACCACTGCAGCGTAAGCTGGGAGACCCACTTCATTCCCATCTGCCGAATGCCCGGGGTCCCGGGAGAAGGGCAGCTCTCTGAAGGCAGCCCAGAGGGTGATCGGCGAAGCAGAGCTGTGCAGCCTCCTCTGCTGCCCCCGGCACCAGCCCAGTCATTCTGCGAGTCTTGGTTAGCAATAGCTGGAGAGAGGCTCCCCGGGCGCAGACCCCGGTAGCTGAGACCGCAAGGCCCCCGCGGCAATCTCACCACCCCCCTGACCCTCGGTTCTGACTCTGCCGGGAGAGCCACGTATCCTCTGCTGCTCTGGGGCAATCTCTTTAGAAACCAAGCACCAGACACGCTCTGCTTTCACTGGCGGGATGTTCCTGTTTGAAATCAGGCAGCTCCTCACAGCTGCGCTGCCAAGAAGCAGAGAGGGGCTGTGGATGGGTTGAACTTCAAGCCCGGTGGCAGCACGTTCAGCACGTGGGCATTGCCAGCCTGGACCCCACTGGGAGCACCCAAGCACGTTTGATCCTGGCCTTAACCCTTATTAGTGCAGTGGCCGTCCCTTAGCACAGCTCTAAAATAGTCAGGCTGTTAACAGGGAAATAGGTGCAATGCACTTGATTAATGACCTGAAGAGTCCTCGGGCTCCTGGTTCCCTCTAAGCTGGTGGTTCTCCACCTGACAGCTCATATTGGGTGCTGTGAGCTCTTTTTAAGGATGCTACACAATAGTAGCCCTGTTAGGTGTGCACACGAGTCACACAAACAAACACACACAAAACGCCGGAGATCTCTAATAGGACTCCGGTGTGTCAAAAGCCTGGCTCTGGCTTGCTGAGTTCTTTGCAACAGAAGAATTGCTCTGGTATTTTTTCATAGTCAAAAAATGAATAAAAGTAAAGAGCTGGCATTTTCCAAGCACAGCCCTGAGTCTAATGAGGTTGAGAACCGCTGCTCCCAGCAAAGAGCACTGCATAGATTGGTTGGTGCCCCTCACTGCCCTGCTGTTTAGCTCTGCTTGGCAGCTCACCCATCTCTGTATAGCTTGCATGGGGGCTATGCAGATCTGACCGGGAGTTTCAGCACAGTAACGTAACCGAGTCTGGGGTCTTGCTCTTCTCCCTCCACTGTGAAGGTGCACGCACACAAGTTGTGCATGTGTGCACATGCACACACACAAACTCCTACCCCGGTGCAAAGCCCCTTTTGCAGAAGTGAGAGTATCAGGTGACCCGGACCCTAAACTGGACCACAGGTGATGAGGGTTGTAGTCCTGATGTGTCACCGAGTAGATTCATCCCGTCCCCTTCCTTGTGTTTCAGTTGTCCCATCACTGCAGGTGGGTAAGAGTGGGGAAATATCTCAAGGTATTTCAGTGGGTAAGAGTGCTCCTCTCCATTGCTATGTGCTCTGAGGTTTGCTGCTGAAAAGCTGTGTGAGAGCTGGAAGAAGGCAGTGTTCTTATCTCCCCATCTCATTGCCACTCTGTATCTTAGCAAAGGGTTTAATTCCATTTATTTTTCAAGAGGATGTCAGCGGTTTTTTCCTGTGGGTGTACGGGCCGCTCACCAGCCATAGGTAGGAACAGTGCAGGAGACTTCGCCCTAAACTGAGGTGTTGCATGGAAAGCCGCCTGCCTTGCACAGGAGCTGAATGTCCCAAGGACTTCAGCACTCATTTAGAAGAGAGCAGTGTCTCTGGAAGCCAGCCTACTTAACTGGGTGCCAGACTACGAATGTAGGGGTCAAACTCTCCCTTGCCATGACCTTGCAAAGCCATTGACACCAGTAAGCTATGCCCATCCCATCTAGCTGTATTTCACACCCGATTTTCCCTAGGGTTAAATGGGCAGATGACAAAGGAATAGGACCAGAGAGAATCTACCTCTGACTGAGCTAATGTCGGTGCTGATTCTGCAGAGATTTAAGCCCAGCTCTATCAATGGCATTGCTCGGTGGGTAAAGTTCAGTGCATAGTTATGAAGTCTTTGTGGGAACCTGGCGAAGTCTGGATGAAGAGCAGGTGGGTTTTGCCGGCACTGGACTTGGCATTGGGAGGTAGGATTCGGATCCAAGCAGGCCCCAAGATCCCATTCCTGGGTTTGGGCTCAGCATATTCCAGGATGAGATGCCGGCCCCGCAATTTTGCATCTAGCCATCACCCCCCCCCAGCACTGACCCCACACCTGGTGCAATCCTGACTCTGAAATACAAGCTCATTGCACAGAGGCTGTGCCTTCCACTGTGTGCGTGCAGCTCCCTGGCAGCAAAACAGAGCCCCAGCCCTGGCAGGTGCTGGGAGGCTGGGGTAAAACCCATAAGTACTAATCAGTAATAAAAATAGTAACAGTCATTAAGATGCAGCACTTATTAACCCCTTCAACTTACCCACTTGAATGCACTGCATCTTCAAAACACTCAAAAGAAGTAGCCTAATACTGCACAACTACCCTTGGGAGACCGGTCTGCTTCATTAACTCCACTCTTCAGACAGGAACGAGAGAGGCTGGAAAACTGAAGGCAGCATTTCTAACAGTGTCCATTAGCACCGAGCCTGTAGTGCATAGGAATCAAGTGGTGTCTCTTTAAATAGTTGTATGACCTTGGTGGTGCTCAGTGGGGTCTGGGGTACAGGAGCCACTTGGGACCAGGCCCTCAGCTGTAGGTATTCACTAGGCCTTGCCTGTTTGGGCCGGTCCATACACAGAGCTGTTTGGGACCCGGTTGCACCTAAGTAGTTTCATATAATCATAGACAATGAGGGTTGGAAGGGAGCTCAGGGGGTTTCATCTAGTGCAACCCACTGCTGCAAGCAGGACCAGCCCCAACTACATCATCCCAGCCAAGGCTTTGTCTGCCTGGATCTTCAAAACCTCCAAGGATGGAGATTGCACCACCTCTCTGGGTAACCTGTCCCGGTGCTTTATTACCTTCCCCATGAGAGAGTTTTTCCCAATATCCAACCTCAACTTCCCTTGCTGCAGCTTGAGCCCATTGCTCCTTCTGTCATCTGCCCCCACTGAGACCAGTCCAGCTCCATCCTCGTTGCAACCCCCCTGCGGGGAGTTAAAGTTTCTTTAGATCATTTTTGTCGGACACATTGACACAGCCTCGGTTATCGGGCGCCCAGTCTGAGTGCGTACTCAGCGCTGCTGACAACCAGCTCCTGGGACCCACAACTACTTAGGTGCCCAGGAGACGGCTCATCTGGTCACCTGCTCGGTGTCACACAGCCAGGCAGTGGCAGAGGTGGGCTGAGAAGCCAGATCCCTGTCCCCCGTCAGTGCAGAATTGCCTTGCCTTCTGTTCCTACGTCCTAGCGCTGCAAAGCACTTACACACATGCTTAACGGGAAGCACAAGAGCCATCCCATTGCAAAATGGCTTCAAATTAGCCCAAAATGCTAGGCTGG